TCTCATAACTGATCTTCCTTCATATTTCTGATTACGTGCTATCGTTTTTTTTATTGCATCTGTTCTTCATCAGTTATTTTATTACTGCTTGATTTTCATTGACTTGGGAAACAAGTTAAGTGGTATTTAAATGTACTACTTCTCTTGCAAGCTAATTAATGCACATCAGAAAATACAAAAACAACAATGAACATCAACTTTGGTTGGATTCAATTGTACTTTATTTGTTGACTGCATCACCTACTTACAGTATCACCAGCTCAAAAAAAATCTAACTTGTATTACTGTAGACCTTTTGTTATTCACCAGCTTGGGTTTGTCATACACCATGATGAGTTCAGTGCATGTGGGAGAGTTTCTCAGTGAATTCCCCAAACTATTATTCAGAGGTCTTGAAACACTTGTTGCATCTTGAGTAATATGACTGAGCTTGTGTACAGTATAACCTACGTTTTATAATAACTGGCTGTCCGGGCATTGTCAAACTGTGCTGTTCATATATCACTCAAAATCGGTATTTGTCATTCAAGTGACTTCGCTATCAGGTGATATCTTAAACTTGACCGTACTCCACAGATCATGATGGTAAAGTGGAGAGGCGGAGCTCGATAACAACGTGCAGGAGCAGCAGCCCTTGCATCACCAAAGACGAGTCTAGTCACCGGGGGAAATGAAAAAACTCAGCTTTTTTCCTCCGGCCTGCCACTGAACTCTGTCCATTTTACAGGTTGCTACTGACACTGACATCTGATGGGAAGAAGACTACAGTAATCTGAATTAAGGAATGATACCATAAATGTGGAGTGACTTCTAAACACTGAAAAATATTCCATTTTGACTTTATAATCACTAGATATGAAGGGGAGACAGAAAGTGGGAAAATGCAATGTTTTTATATGGAGAAAAAACATAATTAAGAAAATAAATCTAGTTTTCAAGTCAGTTTTTATTGTAAGAAGTGCCATGTGTTGACAGTGCGGCAGGTTTTAAATTAAATGGGCTCTACACAGTAGAGGGCACTGTAACTTTGGAAATAGAATCTCTTACCTTCATCCAGTAACATACTGGTTATGTTAAGGGAATCTGGTGTCATAGGTAAACTTGTATTGACTTTTATAGCAAGTAACAGGCTAAAAAAGAGCATAAGCAGCTCCTCACCCTCAGGAAAAAATTTGATATTTTTGTTTTTGATGTATGTGCATTGTTTAGGATTCAAAGATGGTAATACTCAGCTGTGTGTTCACTCAAATTGTTGTTAGGTTCAGAGGCCTTTTGTTTTTCGCTGCATCATCCAATCGCCCATATGATCTAAACAAATGGGTTGTGGTTTATTAGATACAAAGCCGCAGGTCTTCATCATCCTCTCCTTCACATCTTTATGTAATGGTATTTTGCACAAGCAGCTGATATGGTATTTTGTAAGAGATGATTTTCCATATTTTTCATTTTATTAAATTCTGTGAGAATGCCCCCCAGAAAACCTTTCAAAAGCTGGTTAGAAATTTCGTAAGAACACCAATGTTTCTTTATTTTATTTTCAGCTGATAGTTAACATTTGAGTTGCCTCTCTACACATCGGGTTACAGGCTCTTGCTCCAGAGCAGGGAGGATGCTGCTTTTCCCCCTCCTCTCACTTGAATGGTGTTCCCAATGGGTGCCATTTTACAGCCTGTGAGGACACTGCATTCAAAACTACATTGCAAGATTTAAAGGATAAAAAAACAAAACCACAGCATTTAAAAATAAAAGAGAGGTGATTAGTGTAAATGTTTAATGCAGTTTTATTTAGGCGTGGCGGAAACAGACAATATGGCTGCATGTTTTTCTGATGATTTCTGTAGTCTTAAATATTAAGTTAACTAATGGTTTACTTTCTAAGCTTTAGAAAAATAAAAACCCATGCAGAGGTTTACAGAAAGACATTTGCTTGACTCTCGATACAGGAACTGCTTCAAGTTATGCCAGCCTATTTGGCCCTGATTAAAGTTTTAAGTGTTTTCAGACTTAATGTAATGCTAATAATGACTTTTTGTATGCTTAATCACAGAGTATGTCAGTGAGGTAGCTTTCTGTGCATCAGTTACACCTGCCTGTCATTTGAGCATTGATAACCTCCTCAGTTTATTATGTTGCAAAACAGATTATTTATTTTGTTACATCTCAATAAATGTTATTTTATTGCTTGGTTTCCACAATAAATAATTTATTCTTGGCTTTTCTGATGTGTGTAAGAAAAGGGCTGCGGGAGCTGCGTCACACAGCCAGCGACACCTCTGCGGTCGTATTGTTTGTTGCACTGACTCTCTGCACTGAGCTTGGATGCTGGCATGACTCACCTGTACCACCAATGTAATCAGCACTCATTCACACAAACACACAGCAACTCTCTCTATTATCAGACAGAGAAGATAAAGACAAACAAACATCATACTACCTCAAATAATTTTGTACTTTGGTCTCTAGACTAAAACTTCCCAACAATTCATTTATTGCCATGACGAGACAACGGACAACTACTAGTTGTATAGTTGTTATCTGACAGTTACAAATAAAAACTCTATACAACTAAGAATACAATATTTTAAAGGGGCCCTATTTTGCTCATTTTCTGGTTCATATTTAGTGCCTCTACTCTACATATTTGGAAGCTTTAATGTTCAAAAAGGTCTTTAATTTTCTCATATTGCCTGTGCTGGAGCACCTCTTTTCACCCTCTGTCTGAAACCAGACTACTCTGATTGGTTAGTTGGCCGGCTCAGTTGTCATTGGTCAACCACTTAGAGATATCCCGCCCCTTAGCCTATCACGTTCAATGTGTTGGAGCACTAGCCAATAGAAGGGTGAGTGTTACGTAGTGGTGTAACTATGTTCCGGACGTAAAAAAAGCGTCCAATGGAGGTATTTAATGCAGGAGGGGAGTATGTCCGAGGGACGTGAACTTTGGGATTTAAGCACAAAATCGTATACAACACACAACAGGAAAGGGAAACCCCCTAAAGCTTAATAGGGCCCCTGTAACCTGTTATGAGCTGAACATTCAACTTTCGTGGCCTTTATGTCGAAAAACGCATCACAACTCATATACAAGAAGCTTTCTGTACTTTTTCACTTATGATATGGACTCTTTTTGTAAACACAATCACAATAGGTCAGCATTCAGAATCTACAGAGGATCATTGGGGAAAAAACTGATCCTTTGACTGAAGAAATATGGCGCCACCACCAGGTCAACATTTCTGTTTACCAAATTGTTTGGTTAGTGACCATAAACCTGCAAAACATACAACATGCCTATCATAACCAGCAACAATACTAAAACGCTAAACTTCAATGGTAGACATAACTTCTATAATTATTTCTAAATATCCACATGCTAACATGCTAATTTGAAGCACCGCTGAGCATGGCTACACAGGAAATATTGGTGAGTATTTTTTCCAGAGTAATTACTATTTTGCTCTGAAATAGTGATATTTAATCATTTTGGAGTGTATTTATTACTCATAGCTTCTAGAGTGCGATCAAAAATGCAGAGTCAATTCTATTGGAGTCAAACCATGACCACGCTGTAACGGAGGTGATCTCTGGGGCCGTAGATCTCGGTCTCTTATATTATATAGCTTCATTATTGGCGAAGTATATTACTTTGTTTCACGCTAAAACATTGCACAGGAAGCATGTGAATCTATGTCATTTATGCATCTATTTGTCACGATCTGTCTATGTTTTAGTTTGTCTGTCTCTGTTTCCTGTTGTAGTTTGAAAAGTGGTCCCCCTCCCGTCTTGTCTGTTGCTGGTGATTGTATACACCTGGTGCCCCTGTGTTTTCTCCTCCCTCCTCACCTGTGTCCTGTTGGTTTGATTAGTCCTGTGTGTGTTTAGGTTCTGTTTTCCTGTTAGTGTGTGTGAGGTCCTTGTTGCTGGTGACTGTGTTCACGTGAGACAGTCATATTGAGGCTGTGTATCATGAACCACAGCGATGAATAAATGCCCACACCGGGTTGTATTTTAACTCTCTGCCTCTGCCTCCTTGCTTGGTCGGGCCGCTCAATGGTCAGCTTCACACACGCCCACTAGTGTTACTTAAGCACTTTGGTTTATTGACCTTTTTTATTATAAAGATCATTATGGTTCATTTATTCTATTCTGAGTAAAATTACCTTATATTTGGAGTAAAATGACATTCGATTGAGAGTAAAATTACCTTCTAGTTGGAGTGAAATGACGTTCGATTGAGAGTAAAATTACCTTCTATTATGAGTAAAATGGCAGTAGAGTTGTTTTTAATATACACATAGAGTAAATAACCATTAAGCAGAGTGAAATCTAAGCACATAATAGAGTAAAATGAACTCTAAAAATACAACTCTGAACAAAGAGTACATTTGACTCTATATAGGTTGGGACCAAATGTAATATTTTTAGAGTAACATTTTCTTCAATTTGAGTCAATTTTACTCAGAGAAATGTACTGTGTATAGACCTACAGTTCTGTACAGTGTTTCAGTAGGCTACTGTAGAGTCTTATTTAATTACAAGTCCTCCATCAATAGACCAATGTCACATACACCCTGTTCAGATGTTAAAGGTGAAGTTCATGCAAAAATAAATTGCTTTTTATATTTGATTACACCAGACAAATGATCCTTTCCTCTGATTATGTGAGCGACAGTAAACGCGGAACAGATGAATGCAGCCGTCATCATCAATCAGCTGTCAGCAACAATAATCAGGCAGTTTAATCTTTGAGTCTATTCTTGGCCCATGCTCTTTCTTCAGTAACACAGCAGAGCAGCAGACAGATTATCAGTGTAATGCCTCACAGAAATTAGTAGGTTTATCATCTACTTACACATCTTGAATATTTTAGGATCTTCCAGGTGAGCATTCAAATTCCCCCATTGCATGCAAATATGGGCAATATTAATAAGGATATTTGAAAAAGCTAAGAGTGCCTGCAAAGCAAATTTGAAAATCTTGTAACAAAAGGTTTTGAATAATAAATTTATTCGGATTTAATTATTTATTATTGTTTTCTTCAAGCTTGCATAGATAAAGTGGAACTGCAAATGTAAAGATCAACCAAAGTACATACTGACATGATTTTTACATCAATTTGGAAATGGCTATTCTCTTACAACATTTAGTTATTATAATAAAAATGTAGAAAATGTCATCTTAACCCAAGGTAAACTAATGTACAGTTACATAAGTGTACAATAATCACTGGTCAGTGAGTACTGAACCCAGTCCCAACCATTTCATAACAGGTTAGCAACACCAGCAATTTGAGACGACGATGATGTAAGAAACGTGGCAGTAGATGCTCCAACATGTGGAAAGAAAGATTTTCTGTCTTCAAAACAGATATAATCTCCTTTTCAAACAGTTACTTAAGATCATAAACCCCAAATAGTGTCTCTCTTTCCAAAACTACCTTTGTTAAACATATTTTTAATTAGACACAATACAAGCCAAAATGACTTTGGTGCTCCATTTTGTTTATGTCCAAGAGCTACAGTAATATTAGGGTTTCAGATTGAAAAGAGGAAAGAACGCCAATTTGCCTGAACATTACAAATCACCATTTATTTCAGAGATTTATTTCCCTTTAAAGGCCGTGTAAGCCATCAGGATCTATATGGTCTTCAAACACATGTAATATCTATTAATCTCATTATGTAGAGCAATGTTTCTATTATCCAAACATTGTAATTCACCAAAGTAGGAATGGAAGTTTCACGAGTTTGCATTGTATTTCTGGCTACCTAACTTATCATTTAAACACTGCATTGTAGGGTAATGTAAAAAGTGGACTCAATCTGAAGCCTTGATATTGGCACCTGTTTTTTTGATCATTTTCATTTAGTTTGTTTTCAAACAAGAAGTGACAAGAGAGGATTGAGCTAAAGACATGTTTAGTCGACCAAAATGTTACAATTAACTTTCATAAACTGAAACCAAAATGTGAAAGATATAAAGTTCTAAGAGAAAAACCAGGACAACACCCACACCGGACATGTCCTAGTAGCAACGGTCAAGCAACCTGTTGGTAACCACCTCCTAAAGCATACCTTTCTTTATCATCTGTTTTACTATATGGGCCCACAATTTACAAAATCAACATATTGAAGAAGACTTGAAACATACACTCATCAGGAAAACGTGAATCTTGGAAATCAAAGTACAAGTAGTCTCATTTTCTTTTGGAACCACTAGAGACTTTTGTTTGCTATTTGAAAGAAAGCAGGCACGTTGGCACTGGCGTCACTCTTGCTGCTGAATGATAAAGACACACTCATGTCAGGAAGAGAAGACAGATCAGTTGAGTCTAGGTGACGTGGGTGTACAGATGGCGTAGGAACTCTCCTCTGGTGGCTGTGTCCCCGGGGAAAACCGCCTGGCAGAACTCACAAACATGAGACTGCAGCACCACGTCTGACATCAGCATGTCTCCAAACAAGGAGGGGCCTCCTGTCGCGGGCATCTGACACAAACACAGAGGACACGAAATGGACATTTTTGAGGAAGAACATGCTAAAAATCCAATGCCAGGTTTGAGGACCCTGGGCCAATACAGGTGGGATTGTTGTCCACTGAAGAGACCTACCCCCACTGTGTGCATTGTCCTGTCTCCAATACGATTATCTGTGTGCCCCGCATCATTTGAGACATGAGGACAGGCTCCTTGCAATCTCGGGATGTCAAAGCTTGACAGGGGTGCAACCATTTGCTCAGACTTCCCATCTGCCTTTCCCGTCTGATGAGGCACATCCACATTGAGCTTAGATATATCTTCAGCTAGGACATCGTAAAAGGTCCCCACGTTTTTAGAGAGGCCAACAACGCCACAATGTGCTGCAGGGTTGCATGATTTGGAAGTTTGACGCTTTTCGTGGAAATATACAGGGATTTCTTGGGTACACTGGACAGGGATGGACATCAAATCAATCAACTCTCCATTAGGAACAGTGGCACCTGCAGACAAAGAGGTTTAGATGTTAAAAGGATAGTTTTAAAGTTGGTTTGTTTAAAGTGTTTATTTATAGCCAGTGTATACATATATATGGAAAAAACAACAGAAGTTACTGCTCCTAAAATAAAGCAATGTACTGCTGTGGACTGGGGCAGCAGCAAGAGTGGTTGCCTCCATCTATCCTCTCAACAAAGATTCCTCTGACAAAAATCATAATATTACCTTGCAGAACTTGGGGGTTGCTAGTTTATTTGCGCTACTGTGTGTAACACAATCAAATTAAATGCAGTAAAATCTTATTTTGTTACATTTTACTGCACTCAGAATTCTACATAACTATATTTTGTGTAAATATTGTCTTTATTTTCATTTGTTGCAATAGTCTTAGCTTTCATAATTGGAAAACATTTTATTTAATTTTGTATTTGGTTACGTATTCTACTTTCTGTGTCTCCACTTATACCAAATCAAATTCCTCGTACTGTATGTGTAAACCTACTGTAGTTGGTAATAAAACTGATTATGGTTATTTACTTCTTTTTTTGTTGTTCTTTTTTCCTTTAGGTTGCTAAAATATGTTTTGATTATGTCCTCTTCCACAACCGCACCATGAATGACAGTTAAGATATGATTATCAGCATTTGAAATAAATTAGGCTTCAAAAGGACCTTGCTGTTTCTGCAATGCTGTTGTGAGTTGATGTAGCAGAGCTGCCTGTCTCAGGCAAAGCGACCTCAGGTGGAGAAACTGCTGGTACAGTTCACTGTAAGCTTCCTCCATCTCACCAGCTCATGGATCTGCAGATGTTACAAAAATGGAAATAAAATGTAATCTTGTATATATATACTTAGCAAAAACAGATGTGTTACTTATTAGGAAAAATATTAAGAGTCATCAGTCATGCTAGCTCCTTGGCAGTACTCTATCTTGGCAGATATAGTAGAGCTTTGAATGTTAATGTCAGGATGAAAAAATATTATTATTATCTTATTTTGGCTTGTAAGCATAACATATTTAGTGACCCCTTGTGCCTTGTATAAAAGCACCTTCATTATGCATGTTAAGTAGCTGTTGTTTTTCTTAAATTAGCTACAAATCAGTCTACCATTATACGTGAAATATTACTATATCCAACTTGTAAAATTACCGAAGGCATTGCACAAAAACACTACAAATCTTTAGTGACAAATTGCATACGTACATAAATATGTCAGGATTGTCCTATTGTAATAGAAAAAGCTGTATGTGCTTTAAAATCTTCTCCGTATAAATGTTGATCCTGAATTATTAGTACCATGTATAATACAACAACAAACACAAATCTTTCATAAGACCTTTTGTAACCATAACGCCTTGTCTTTTCTGCCTCTGTGCAGTGATTTAAACTCATACTTAAAATACATTGCACTGTCTTGCATAGTACTGAAACTGAACTTACCCCTTATGAACTAATCCGTCACTGAATCCAGGACTCCTTGTCATTTCATGACAGTTGTTTTTCAGCCTCCTCCTGCAACAGGCTTCCTTATTTGTCAAGGCAAGAGACACTGTCTCGGTATGCAAATCTAGACTGAAATCTAGAAATGTGTAGAGCACCACAAAAACAACAACTTTCTGACAGTGAAATCTATTTACCAGATGAAGTCTTGCCAACCACAGTGAGTGAATGACAAGTCTGTTTCTCCCCGAGCAGACCAATGGAAAGTATGCTTTACTCATGTAACAACACAGTGTGTTGGAAAATGTTAAACATAAGGAAGTAGCTCTTGAAAATAGGGAAGTGTAAGCATTTAAATATAAAAGGGAACCTCGACCTTCACTCAGACTCTGCAGATTATATATAAGCAAGAGGAAAGAGTCAGGCTCTATTTGTTGCTGCTGTTTAATTTATTAAGATGTATGCACTGACTCAGTATCAGTACTGATAACCCTACCTCTTATAAGCTCACCTGTCACTGATCCTAGAATTCAGGGCTTCTTGTCCTTTCATAAAGTTGTTATTAGCCTTCTCCTTCAGGTTTCCTGGTATTTTCAAGGAAATAGACAGTGTAAGTATGCAAATCAGATACCTACTGACCCACAGCCCCCCAATGATAGTGCCTTCAGGGAGGAGAGCTCCAGAGGCTCAAATGGTTCTGTGACCAGAGCCTCGAGCACCAATGGCTGATCCCATTGCTGGGTGGAGACATGCACCACTGGGCGCTGTCTCCTGACCCCCTGCAAAAAATGCGCCATAAGCGGTTAACTAAAGGCTGACCTGCCACCAAATCCCTCATGGCAGGACGAGATGGCTGCTGCATACACCTTAATTGTGGAATGAGCAAGCCCACTGTCCACCAGTATCTGTAAATAGTACAGAATAGAGCCCAATGTAGATGATAGAGGCTCTAGACTCCTTTCTTCACTCCCAACCACTTAGTCCTGTAACAGGCTGTGGTGGATCCTGCTCTTACTGCCTGGATAGTCTGAATAACTTTGTCAGACAATCCTGGAGAGGTTGGCCCAGAGTGGGTAACGCCCTTATTGCACCTGCGGTGGAAAGGCGTAGAGCAGCTATCTTGGCCATGGCTCGTGTGCAAACGTGTCTGCAAACTGCCTGAAGCAGCCTGTCTGCTCTCTGACAGGGTGGCACGTAGTCTCTGCGTGCATCGAGCAAATTCCACAGATACCCCACCTGCTGGTGAGGTATGGGACTGCTCTTCTTCCAATTGACCGCAATCCACTTGGATCAATTGGGCTGTGTTTGCCTCTTCCCTGGACCTGGCCATGACTATGAGGTCGTATTACAAAACCCTCATGCCATGGTCGCGAAGCGGCTGAAGCGCTGTGGCCACACATTTGCTGAACGTGCGTGGGGATAGGGAGTAGCCAAACGGTAGTCTGTTGTACTCGTAGGCTATACCCCCTGGAAGGCAACACGCAAATACTTTCTGCGGTTTTGAAGCAATTTTCGACATGAAATTAAGCGTCCTTCAGGTCGATGGTTGTGAACCAATTACCCGGCTGCCCTAGTTCCAGTAATTGGTTTACATATGGAACTTTTTGCAGGCAATGTGCTGATTCAGGCTGCGAAGATCCAGAATGGGTCTGAATTCTCCTGTCTTCTTGGGAACCAGGAAGTACACTGCCTGTTTTTGCAACAGGGCCTGAATCTCTGTTGAAAGGAAACCTATCTCCTCCTGGGATGATAGATTTGCCTCTCTTATGCCCCTGCATGGAGGAGGGACGCTGAAAAACTGGAGTGAGTACCCCAGTTTCAGTGTCCTGTCCATCCATTATGTCAGTACACAGCTAAGCTTCCATTCCCCATAAAACTGTGTTAGGGGACCTGCAAGCAGCTGTGGAGTCGCAGCTAAGAAGCTGTAGCACTCTCTGGCGGCCCACTCCACCACCAAACCTTCCATAAAAGGAAGATTGGCTCATGGAACGTGCACATGACCAATGAGGGCACGAGATAAGTTTGTGACACTTTGTTAACCTATTTTGTTTGTTGTTGTATTTAAGACATAAAACAATAAACAGAATATTAACGTTAGAACAGTAACTTCTATAATTTCTACCATACGTCAATCGCAACATTGTGTGATTGTCTCTGTGATGTTGACATGAAGAATCACACTTTAGCTGGTTGACTCAGTTTCACTAGAAAAATGAGGAACTCAAACCGAAATTCGTTTTCCATTTAGCTTACTTTCCTGCTGTGAGACTTGAATCATGTGAGAATAATTTCCCGTGTGAATCATAGATATATTTTTTAGTTAAATGTAGGCTACTTACACTTTAAAGTATCGATCATTCCCAACAGGAAGTGCCGACGCAACCACAGCAGTCCACTGATGATGATGATGATGATGATGATGATGATGATGATGATGATGATGTGGATGATGAAGCGGATTAACTACAGTCCCTCTGACAGGACTGGACAAGATTCGCATTTTACTATGATGACGTCTCTACCCGACACGAGCTCACCCTCTGGAGTTCACCGGTTCACCTGCGTCAAACAACAATAACCTACCAAAATCATACTTCCTGCCTGACTGCCTTCAAAATAAAAGACACAAACTTAAGATACTTTGGATATGCAACAAAAATCCCAACTAATGTGTCATAACTTAAGATAAGCACCCTTACACATTGCCAAAACATGTGTGAGAGCATGTGTTTCATTAGCAAACGTATTGTGTATGTTCATTAAAGGAGCAGTGTCTAAGATTTAGGGGATCTATTCGCAGACATTATTGTGAAATAGAACTTTGTTTTCATTGTTGTATGATTGCCAGAACATTTTGTTGGTTTTTTTAACATATAATGACCATGTTATAACTACATAGGTAGTCAGTGAAGTTTGCAATGATGCACCGCCATGTTTCTACGGTAGGCAGTTACTGACAAACCAAACTTTGATTTTAGAGAGGGCATTTGTTATGGTACCTGAAGGCCACTATAGGTTCAGACAATTTAAGAGAAGGGTGAACAGAGGTATTCACTTAGTTGCAATCTGCAATGCCACCGCTGGATGTTACTACGTTTTACAAAATGGTGCTTTTTTAAAAGTGTTTCATGTTTTTTGGACATTACTAAAAATGTATTCTGAAAAATATTCTAAGGGTTGGTTGAAACTTTATTTTCTATGGTTGGGTAAAAAAAAATTAAAAGCGTTGTTCCAACACATTTTACAGTAATGAAATTACACAAGTAAAAATTAAGTTTGCTCAGAATTGCTTAATGTCCACGAATATTGAGACTGGAATAGGTGAATGTGTTCGCATCATGATACTTTTTCTTCCAACGTCAAAGTAGATGGACAATGTTACCCTGATGTCCTTTTTTTTATGTTAAAGATTTCCATCCATATTATCAGCCCAAAAAAGGTTTGCTTTTGTTTCTACTGCCACCTTTTTTTGTTATGTTCAGTCGTGTTTTTATTTTGTGGCATTATGGACAAAGCATCATCCGCATTATGTTGTGTAACCCTGTGTATCATATTGAATTACTTCTTCTTTAATGCTGCAAATAATTCAATCAAAGCCATCGAACCCCTGTGATGAGAGCTCTACATAAAAGTGTTTAGTCATGGTTAGTCCTGCTTCACTGTACAGCCTGTGTGGCATTCTTGTGGTTCTGTCATGTGATGACTGTAGCTGATATGGATTTAAAAATAGACTAACGTTAAGTCAGCAGAGTCCTGTGGGTGGCAGACTACCTTCAATGCCACCCATCCGTCCACTTAGGAGGAGCAGCAGTTTTTCCCCTCAATGTCAACCCCTGACAGCTGAGATCACAGCCAGCCCCTTGTGATCCAAGAGGGGTGACAGCCCCTTTGCTTCAGACTGCTTATGTAAGAGAGGGATGGGCAGCCTTCACCTCTCTGAGTCGTGTCTTTGTCAAGTGCTTCTCCTAAAGAGGATCCACTTGTGTAATTTGCCTTATTTTTAGCTGAAAACAGCTGCTAATATGCAGTATTCACGTCTTTTTGTGTTGTTAGACATATCTACATGTTGACCTGGTACAGTGTAACGTCAAGTCAAAGCGTGGATTTTAACAGTTTGGAAACACTTAACAAATACAAATAAATTAAGCTTTTATACTCAGGGCTCAAAGATACCTATCATCTCTAAGTTACAATTGATGACAGCAAGCAGTAACCACACAGCCATTAGACGATCAATGAATAATAAATGAAATATAAAGATTGCATTAAGATATATAAAACCCAAGGCAGCAGGGACATGTGAGCTCTTAAGGGAGTAGATCCTGAATCTTGGCAGATTGTACTTGCAGCCTTCTTTAAATTCCTAGCCTTGGAAGGAAGGTCGATGTACTTTAATTTCCAGGGTAAGTAACCATACTCGCTGTAACAGGAAGAAAACATTTCTAGGTATTGGTGACAAACTTTGAAGCTTAAGATAAAAGTGTATAAGCTGCTGGACTTTTCTACATACATCATACACATGAGCCATCCTTATTGGCAGATCGATGATTAGAAATAGTCTGTAGCATCATATTTAGCCACATGGGACTGATAGCGATTTTCTCACCAAACTCTCAGGAAGGCAGCTTTTTTTGCTTTTTTCATTCTTGTGTGGTGCTTATATGGGCCTCAAATTAAGGCTGGAAAACATTCATAAAGATTGTGTTAATAACATATCATAAAGAATATAAAATGGTAATACAAAACGACAGTAAGAGCAAAAGTTAAACAATGTCAAAGAAAATCACATGAGCCATTACCGCCAAACTTCATCTTTGTGAATGTCTACATGTTGAAATCTATTATTAACAGCTCTTCATGTTTCCAAGGACATGTGTGATGCTTTTACACTTCCACTGCTCTTCATGAGATGCTAGTGTCCATAACTGTTCATTAAATGTTAATATCATCAGATTTTTATATATATGTATTTTTACAGGTTTACTAAACTCATTATAACTAAATTACATAATTGACTACATCAATTTTTAGCAGTCAGAGTGAGGATTGTTTATATCTGCAGTTATATATCTGTGTTGAACCGTATGCCAACAGCCAGCACTAGTTGCTGGTTTGCCCCATGTGTTTGCTCTGACCTTGAACCCTTCTGTCCTTGGACACACTCACACACACACACACACACACACACACACACACACACACACACACACACACACACACACACACACACACTTCAGAGAGCCCCAACACAGGGATCAAGTGCGAAGGGACGGTGTTAGAGGAGAGGGCCCCGCGGACAGCAGGGTGTGGTGTGTGTGTGTGTGTGTGTGTGTGTGTGTGTGTGTGTGTGTGTGTGTGTGTGTGTGTGTGTGTGTGTGTGTGTGTGTGTGTGTGTGTGTGTGTGTGTGTGTGCGTTTCTGGGGGATTTACCGTGAATGTATTCCAGGCATGCAGCCAGGAACTGTCATCTGCCAGTGCAACACTATCCATCCTGTCAATCTTGTTTTATAATTGTAACATTCTCATATTCTCCGGCTGAGCAGAGCGATGTTTCCAAAATAGTTAGACAAACACGCACACGCACACCCACACACACACACACACACACACACACACACACACACACACACACACACACACACACACACACACACACACAGAAGCGCACCCTTTTCAAGGAGCATCTTTGTATCATAAATCAAATAAGGTGCATATTGAAAAAGCTAACAATTTGCTAAACGAATTAACTAACTGTTTCATTAAAGGAAAACTGAATATTTATTTTTATTTTAGGCAAAGATTAAAGGTGGGGCAGGTAAGAATGGAGAAACCAGCTCGAGTGCGCTAGAATTTGAAAGTACACAACCGGAAAAAATCTGCCTCTTCCTTCAGACTTCCTTACAGAGCCCCTCCTCCAACACACACGAACGCGCACATGACCAATGAGGGCACGAGATAAATTTGTGCACAGATGGAAGGCTGACAGGCAGGTAGGCCATCCAATCATTTTAGCCGGGCCGGCTCAGATGATTGGTCGTGCTTTTTTCAGCACCACGGCTTCCACAGATGAAATGTTTTAATGTATTTATTGTCAAAGCATTTCATATATTCATTGCTATCGGGATGTTAAGAGCATTCCATGGAATATAACAAAAAGTTATAAGTTATAAGTTTCTGAAGTGAATTACCTACCCCACCTTTAACACTGTAAAGTTCAAATCTCAAAGTTCAAAAGTGTTTAAACTTGGATGCATCTTATGGCCACTGAGGTAGGCACATTTGGAGAAACCAACACAAGTGTTACATTTTGACAGTATCCAAATGAAAAATATCCCGCCCTCCCTTTAGCCCTATCTCCAAAACCTCTCCTCCAAAATACAAGGACAAGTCATCAAGAGGGCTTTAGGGGGAACGTTGTCATCACGAACCATATCCAACTACCTCATGTCTCATTCTGAGCAATAAGATATCATTAAGGAACAGAAACAGCGAAAATGGCTACTGAACAATCAGAATCAGTGGAAGGCTGGAAGGTCATTTGCTGACTTGTTTGTTGTTGTACTGTGTTTAGTAACAGAATTTCAACAACAATGCTTTTTAAAAGTTTGGCTACCCTACCTTCACCCAAGGACAAATTGTTTTTCACCCTCTAACTGAATGATAATCAACCTGCCTCACCTTACTTTAGAATGTAATCCTGCAGAGTAACGATATTAAGACAGTGATGTGGTACAGTTATCACAGAGATCCCATGAGCAATGACGTCTGCCAACTAATTTATCACCGGACTCCTTTAGTGAAAGAGGCAAGATCCGATTACAGAGGTTTCTAGGTGCTCAACAATGGCCTGCTATAAATACACTCACAGAGGGTTTTTCACATGTGACAGCACACCCACACAAATACAAGAACTGTTGCACAATATACAGGACGTGTACAAATGAATGTGTATTTGTATGTACATGGAAGACCATGTGGTCATTACTGAAAAAGGTAATCTTGCCGACTTCTTATGGGCTTTATTTTTGTCTTTTTCTGAAGCATTGTTAAAGAGTCAGCATTGTGTTTGAAAGTTCTGGAAAAAACAAAAAAATCTGCTGAATGTTATGTGTAGCTACGTCTAAGTCCTAGTGCAAATCAACTTACTGGAGAGGAAGAACAGTGGAGAGGGAAACAGAAGCCTCCACGGAGCGCTCAGCGGCTTCACAAAGTTATTTACAGCTCAATCCATCAATAAACGACAGGTGCAGCATCCTCACAAACAAACCTATTAGCTTTCCACCCGCTGGAACAATATCCTCTCCAGCAATCAACTGCTCTCTCACACACACACACACACACACACACACACACACACACACACACACACACACACACACACACACACACACACACACACACACACAAATAGAGACAGACACCAACACAGACAGGCCAATAAGTACAATTTATGACTTCATTGTTGACTGATGTTTCTTCTATTTCTTCTCACTGTATGTGTTCTGTCATTGTTCTGGCATCTGCATGGTTAATTTTAATGCATTATTCTAGAATATTTGTTTCCGTGCTAGCAGCAAAGGTCTATAGATAGAAATGTTGGTGTGTCCACTATTTTTACATACCACAATATTTGAACAATGTTGGCTGTATTGCCCTTCAATTCTAGTTATCATCTGTTCCCAGTCAAAGTGTTTTCCCTTTATTGAAATTTCAAAAGTAAATGGATTGGCACCAACTTTGTTTGCAAAAGCTCCCTCTAGGATACCCTTAGAGTGGATAAAGAGAGATCCAGTGCCATACATGTGGCAGCAGGCCAATAAGCCAATCCATCTCACCTGCCATTTTTATTTAAGCTTACCATTGAACCTTACACTCTCCCACAGACCTTGCTCACCAGCACCTTCATATCCCCTGCTGTATCTGCTGTACTTTTCACTTAGATCCACCTGTTGTGCTCTGTAAACAAACCCCCCCTCCAATCTGTGTGTGTGTGTGTGTGTGTGTGTGTGTGTGTGTGTGTGTGTGTGTGTGGTGTGTGTGTGTGTGTGTGTGTGTGTGTGTGTGTGTGTGTGTGTGTGTGTGTGTGTGTGTGTGTGTGTGTGTGTGTGTGTGTGTGTGTGTGTGTGTGTGTGTGTGTACAATGTATGGGATTTGAAGTCGTCGGGTGTCCCTGTCAAAGTGCAAGAGTTAAAATAGTATGAATGATATTGTCTGAACTCGGTAGTAGTGACCTTCCCCGCCTGCTGCTCTCAATCTAATTTTGCATGTACAGCAAGTCAGTGCAACCTTTTTAACCCATAGTTGTCTAATGAGCAGTATTTCTAGCTGTTGTGAGGGGGTGCTGTTCTATTGTGTATGCATTCACGTTGAAATTCATGTGCCCGTCCAGATGAATTGGGGATTTCTTGAATCTTCCAATAATTTGATTTCCAACCAAATGGCTAAAAAAACAACGACATTTCTATTAGAGTCAGCTCTTTGTGTTTATTGAAGACTATCGTCCCAATGCTATGTTGGAGAACAGGTTGTCTAAACACTATACGCTACCTGCTCAGCAGCATTATGTTGGCCTTGTTATCATAGTGATGTTAGCATTTACTTCAAAGCACCTCTTTCCTTAATTACAGTTTCACAGAGCTGTTAGACGGCTAAAGACTCTTGGGGTTGTTACTGGTGGATTCACAGTCAATGTAAGCATAGTTTTACTGTTGTGGTTGCATGTCGGGGCAAATGTTCACTTCTTTGTATACTGTTCATTACTGGTATTGTGGTCAAAATGTTATTCTACAAAGTTCCCTGCAACTACATGTGTCCAATGATTGTCCTATATGGTAACAAACTAATCAATTTATCCAAAACAAATATAAGACCATTGTCTACTCAAGTAAAGTACGTTGAAATATGTATATTTAATGATAATAAAGAACCAATTGCACAGAAGATCCTGCCCATCTTGATGTGCAGTGAAATAGCAATGTAACATGTTCTCAAACATTTACCGAATAGCAGGTGGTGCAGAAGCAATGCACAAAACCTCGACCTCAGCAGGTTTGTGCAACAAATCACCATGACAAGTGGGTCAGATATTACATGGCAGAGCATATGTCTCATGGTGTAAGGCTACAGTTTGTCCCTGAATGCAGTGTTGCATGTCAGGGCACAGGTCAGATGTTAGGGGCCAATAGCTCCAGATGGTAGCTTTCCACTTTTGGAAGAAGATGGTGTCAAGACCATGACTTCAGGGATAAGATATATTGACATGGGAATGTGTTTTGACTTTTGGTTTGAGCAGAGTGAGCTGTCCTGGATACCAAGTCGCACTGAAAGTCAAAGGGGATCATTTTTATTTAAAAAAAGAAAAGTTCTGATTTGAACCAAGGGTACTCTCTGATCCTTCATTTGAAACTGTCTCGTCTGCTGTTCCAATGGCATCTGTCTGGGGCAGCATGCTTGCCATTTTGTAACAAAATGAACACCTCAATGCAAGCTGGCTTTCATAATTGCCTCCTTCTCTTTTCTTCCCTTGTCCCTTTTTTCCAGTCTGTCTGCCAACATCAAAATCCAAATGACCGGAACGTGGTGTACAGTAGGATCGGGTGTCAAGTCGGAGCTGCAGTCTGCCGTGGCTAAGAGTGGCACGGTGTCGTCTTCCTTTTGGTCAGAGATGTTGCCAACATTAACACCATGTGTGACACAACAAAACGGACAAAGTGAAATGGAAATGAAGGACTACTTTGGTCGGTTTTCATCACATTAACATTATGTAACAATCTGCAGCACAGTGAGTGCTTTTTCAAATAAAGCCCAAGCTCTGTTACCAACTGACTGGAAACTTCACAACTCTTCTTAAAGGATAGGTCTAGTGACACACGTACTTTTCGAACTCTTTCTGACATTAAACACCATAAGAACACCAAACACATAAATTAATTGTTAACACTAAGATGTGTCCAAATTCTGATGTAGTTAATTTTACACCAGGCTCTATGAAACTTAAGCACAGTGAGGCATTGAGCAAAGCACTGATGTCAGCATGCTGTCATGCTGACATGTTCACCATCTTAAAACATTTTTTACAAATGTTTACCATGTAACATTATTTTCAAAATGTTCACTATAAATACTCACTAGCGCTACAAATACACATCTGAAAGCACTCCCCATTCACACAAATATACTCCTGTTTGAGCAACTTTTCTAAAAGATACAGTGCCTAGCTGTTTAAACGAATAATTACCATGATTCATTCGAACACAATCCTATTGAGAATGGAAACTAGATATATATCTGGAAGACTGTATACAAACCATAATGAACGGCAAACAGGAGATCAACATTTAAACAAAGGCAGTCAGTGTTGTGTTTTCCAAAAATATTTAATATCAAATATTCTCTGTCTTTTAACACATCTGCACTATTTTACCAAAGCCATGGCAATATTTTTCACACACATCCCAAACAAAACACATACAGTAGGAGAAAGAAGTGTTCTTCATATTGTTTGAACACTATTTGAAGTGCTCTTAGCTGCTTATCTTCTCATCACATTTCATTGTGATTTCTTAAGATATTTCTTTAGTTCATTCTGATATGGAAACACAAAATAATTCCAACATATAAAATCTGCGTAACTCCAGAATGTGGAAGACAGTCCTTACGAACACGTGTAGGGGTGTCAAACATGAAATGCCTGCTTTTGCATGTGGATGATCAAGCTTTGTCAGCTATTAAATCGTATCAAGGATACACTACATGAAATTGTGGATACAGGGAGACTCTGAAATGTTCTTTGACTAAATGTGATCTTTAACTGGAAGGCTCTGCTGCAGTTAACACTGCCTCAGGGTCATGTGAACAGGATTCAGTTTTTCTGGATCCTAAACCACCTGTCATCACTGTATGCACACACAGTGCACCAGGGCGAAGTGTGCGTTCAAGAATTGTATGTTCCAAGTGTATTTCTATCCCAAGTCTCAGGCACAATTTTATTTTAATAGAGACATTAAAATAGATTATTTAACATTAATATTAAACAGGGCTTGCGGTATTTGATATTTGGAATGAAAATCAACTTAGTGTCACCTACTATGGTTTAGGAGCGACGCTTTATGAAAGGCACTTTGTTTTTTTCCATTTAGCAAGTTCAAAAAGTTCTCAAAGTATGTTGTTACAGGGACATGCGGTTCAAAAGGAACTCTGCCAGCATCAGCCTTTACAAGGTGTTGCAAAATGGCAGCATGGAGTTGTGGCAGAACATTTTGTTTATCTTAAGGCAATAAGGTTTGTTAGTGGAAGTATCAAAATAAGAGTAAACTTTGGTCCAAGACCTTTTACAGGAGCACAGTTAGGACTAAAACTATATTTTGTTATGCAAAGATATTAGTAAAGATATCCATAACAAAAACTGGGACTCTAGAGTTCCGTCAACCTGGCTTTTTCTACAAAATAATCTAATATATCAGTTTCCTCTACCCAGTGGGATCGAAAGCAACTTAAAAAATGCTTTTTAGGAGATTAGTGTGTTTTTCTGCTTTTGGGAAAAGCTGAGTATGTAACACTGCATTGCATCGACCCAAATATCCATATCTCACTAGCTGCATAGCAAGACAACATTCAAACATCCAGCACAGCAATAAAGTCCTTTTACAAATGCACACAAAAATATATACTTTATAAACTGTGTCCTGATCTGTTTATAACATTTCAGCTCTCTCTGTTTCAGAGAAGAAACTGTATACGATACTCACACAGGTACCAAATTACATTTTAAAACGTAATGTTAGAAAAATAAGGATCTCTTGAACAATGCCAGACATTGTTTGAAGGAGGTTCACCAGTACAGTTCAGTGGTAAAACCTCACATTGGGTGCTTTGTGTCGTTTTTACAAACTACTTTGCCTTCTTTTTCAGAATGGCAGAGTATCCATAAAGATTTTCTCCACTATTGGTGGAGGGGGAACCAGGTCCTCGAGTTTCAGGTAGAAGATGCGCTGCAGGCCCTGTGTGCACAGAGTCCTCAGCTCGGGGAGTTTGCCCAGAAGACGAGAAAGATAGTTGGGCTGTGTCCGGCTCGGTTCTGATCCGTTTCCATTCACATGCTCTCTTAGAGAAGTGATGAGATGACTCTGAAAGTCTTCCACCTTCCTGGGCTCTTTGAGGCCATGGCGATCTAAACGAAAAACATGTTCTCATGAGAAACACAGTGCTAACGAGGGGGAAAAAAGCAAATGCAGTGAGATTCACTTGCAAAGCAAACACAAGCTCTCACCAGTGATGATAACTAACGCTGCAAGGCAGGCAAACAAGGAGACGTCCAAGTTCATTCGGTGAAGGCTCTGGGAGAAATCCATTATGGAGTTAATCCAATCACCAAAAGTGGAAACGCATTGCAGTCGGTGTAGGACCAAACCGTTGCAGAAGATCAGCTTGTTCTTCTCAGGATTAGACCTGCATGGGTTCAAACCAATTGTACAATTAGTCATAATAGCAAGGTGCGCATTAGTCTGGATAAATAAGAGTTAAAGAGGGTGTATTCTTAAATGTTATATAAGCTGACCTGTATGCAAGTCGCAGAATGAAGAGCTCAACAAAAGCTGATTCAAGGAGCAGCTCCTGGTCCTCTGTGCAGAAATCTTTGAAACCTGGGATGGTTTCGGCCCAGTTTCTTATTACATCCAAAGAACCAGTCAGCAGGTCATAAAACTGCTGAATATCAGCAGCATCCTCCTTTTCTTTCAGGTTGTCCACAGTCTCCTGGTACTGAGGAGAGGAGAGAGAAGGTTAATGTCATTGCTTTTATTCTACATCCTGTGTTGAGGTCATTGTTAGTGATCTTTTTGATTGAAATTAACTCTGAACACACCGCCAGTCTTGAGATTTACCTTGGAGTAGTCAAGCTTTCCAATGGTTGGGTTTGAGTCTAAATGAGATCTGACAAGAGAGGCTAATATGTTGACGCTGGGGGTTGTGGATGAAGTATCGGACACAGTCTTGGGTTTCGAAGGCAGACGACCTCGACGGCCTTTGAGGCTGTCGGTGCGAACAACTGAGGAAGAGACAGAAAAGAGGAAGCACAAGAACATGAATCTCCAATTTCCACATTTGAACGCTGCAATTTAAAAAACAACTGCTGTATCAATTTCAGTTTCTCTTTTTTCTGCAGCTGGCACTAAAAGTTCCGGATTTCATATGTCTGTCCTTTTTAGCTTTAGTTTCACAAGACTGTCATTACAAACCCTAGTTTCTCTTCATCATACATTTGTCACTGAAAGCGTGTGTCTGACATTGCATTACCTTCTTTGACCATTCCAACTGTGAGACATTTCTGGAAACGGCAGAACTGGCAGCGGTTTCTTCTTCTCTTGTCCACAGGACAGTCTTTATTGGCAAGGCACACATACTTTGCATTTTTCTGTACAGTTCGCTGTCAAATAGGAAAATAAATAACATTACTATGGGTTCCAAATGGCGCACACATTTAACAATGTAAATGAATGAAATGCATACTATCTTTGTATAGGCGATCAATACTGAAGGATAAAACCCAAATCAATATTTGGGAGTTAAAAAAATGCTATAATTTAACACAAAAACTTAATAAAAATAAGGAAAAACTTTTGGATTAGGATCCTTCAAATGTGACTTGTTACTATATGACATTGCATTACATTGTAAAGTTAAACAGATAAACTCAATGCTCTGTAATGAAAGAACATTGATTACTGTCACTATTTTTTAATTCTAAACATATCTTTACTACAATTTGTCGATACGTATTAGCAAATCAAATCTGATGTCAATATATAATAAGCTAATCAGCCAATATGTTGTCCCAGCCTCCTCCTCAGCTATTTACCTTGAAGAAACCTTTGCAGCCCTCACAGGTGCGGACTCCATAGTGCTGACAGGATGCGTTGTCCCCACAAACTGCACAGCGGCCCTCACTGGATCCTGGGTTGTGGCATTTAGGAGACATCATGGACCCTTCAACTATCCTGGGACTTTCCATGCATCCATGGTCCAGGGACATGGGGGGACAATGAAGTGGAGACATGTGCTGCTGAGGAGGCAGGAAGAAAGGGTCGTCGTGGCCCGGCAGAGCATCTTGATGATGCCCCAGGGGAGAGTGCTGCTCTGGAGCGGGGCTGAAGGTAAAAAAGGAGAGATGCTGGGCCATGGCGGTCTTATCAGCCACAGAGGACGGGGGGGCTGAGGGGTAGGGGCTGAAAGGGGAATCCCAGATGGGTGCAGACTGGGCCTGAAAGCCAGATGTGGGAGGGGAAGCTGCGGTATAAACTGGGCTGCCATAGTAGTCAGAGCCACATGACGACAGCGTTTCATCAAGGCAGCTCATCGCAAAGGAACCTGGGTAACAGCCATACACCTGGAGATCATCCAGCTTGAAGGCCTGGCTCTGCATCTGAGGGCAGGAGCTCTCCGCTGAGTGGCTGAAGGAAACTGTAGAGGCCGGAGGAGAGTTGGTAATCCTGCAGGAATAAGCATCAAACTCCCCCACATAGCCATTTCCCACCAAAGTGTTGATGCTGGGCAACGAAGATGTAGACAGCTGGTCCTTTTGGCCACTGATGTCCATCACCAGTTTGGCACTGAGGTCAGGATTCAAGAACTCAGAGCTGAAGTAACTGTCATGGGGCAGGGAGGCATACTGGGCTTGTACACAGGGCATCTCTAGGACAGAAAACAGCAACAATTAGATTAACATAAACATTTATAGTATGCTGCATGTGTCAATACATCTAAGAAAATGTCATAATATTGCACAAATATCTTTCCATAAATGTTAATGCATTGTAAATGTTTGTCACACAATCATATTGCAAAGTGTGAGTTGTTATGCTTATAGAATAAAATCATTGGGAATAACTAGGGCTGAGTGTTCTGTCTAAACATACAGTAATGTATATACAATGAAGTTAAATAATCTCATTAAATTATAAATTTATAATATTAATCAGCCTTGTTTAATCCTCTCTCTGTGACCTTACAAACAGTAGCCATCATGAACAACTTGACGGTACACAATCTCAATTCAGCAACATGCCATTTTTCTGTCAGCAGGACCTATCACTCCTCTTGAGAAAATGTAGAGTGAGATCCAGTGGTGTAATGAGATATTGAAAGATGTTATTTGACTGGCTGTTAATGCTCTGAAAACCTCCTTCAGTGGAGGGCAACCCTCTTTCACAGGGACTATACCAGGGAGTGCTGCAGATTGTATTTCAGGGTGGGCTGAGTGCCAGCTGTAATGGGAATGGGGACAAATCCTGTGCCTGTGTGTGTGTGTGTGTGTGTGTGTGTGTGTGTGTGTGTGTGTGTGTGTGTGTGTGTGTGTGTGTGTGTGTGTGTGTGTGTGTGTGTGTGTGTGTGTGTGTGTGTGTGTGTGTGTGTGTGTGTGTGTGTGTGTGCGTGTGCGCGTGTGTGTGTGGTTGGGAGAGTGGGCGTGTATCAACAAGTGCAAGACAAAGTGAAGCAGACCAAATCATTTTTTGAAAGGTTTTCAAACTTATACCTCATTGTTGAATTATTTCCACAAACTTTAAATAAGCTTGACCCATGGGAAGATCATTGGGCCAATGTGTGTTTTGTATATCTTCTCTCATATAGCAACAGTAATAAAAGCACATTCAACATGTGAACTCATCTTAAGTAATACAAACTAGGCACAGTACAGTTGCAGCTGTGCTATTCTTACCATCAGGAGTTACTAATGACAAAATATTTAGAATTTTAACAACTATTTACCATATAAAAATAATTGCCATTTCTACTTCAGAATTGCATTAACTAAGCGTAATGTTAATTTTAGAGGTTGTAGTTTGTTCTGCTGGTGTAGTGTTATTACTAATATATTAATTTGTACCGCCTCTCTAGAAGAGCCTAACAAAACTCAACATTATAACCATGAAGAAAGAATAAATGCAGTAAGTTGTAAACATTAGTTTTAGCTACAGTAGGTGTACCTAACAAACTTGCAAAAGAGTGCATAGCTCTGACTGCTGTCAGAAAAGTGAGGCTGAGACATTTTAAAACATTAGTTTCCATTAAACTAATTGAGTATAAAGGTGTATTATGTTACACTGTTGTATCAGCAGTCTAGTTAACATTCTCCTATGAGCTTGTATTCATTTGGAAGTAGTTCTAAAGTCAAACATCAGCATGCAAGTGGTCCCTGAATAATCAAATCAATACATGTAAACAAACTCTTTCACTCACCTGGTTCATGTAAATATCCGGATTATGAAGTTTATCATTTATTCCAACCGAGTAAAACTGATGAATGTCACCTCTGCCAGCTGCTGTCAGAACGCACACTCATTCAAACACACTCTCACACACATACTGGTTCAGACCAATGCAGGAGGATCCATACTCTCTTGTTTTATTTTGACTGCGTCAACATAAGGGCGTGTCCATGACCATACATGGTGAACAGGGCAGCGGAACGTTCCGGGTGGCGAGCCAATCAGCGTCGGGATTTACACAGACGTTCTTCCATGTGACGCACGCACGGGATTCCATTGACGCAAGAGACGGGGGAGCGTGTGTTCTAAATATAAACCGACAACGACAGCAGCGCTCACGTGGGGCTATTACTGGATGAAAAATGCTAAAAATAGCCGTAGTTTCAAAGTGCATACGTTTTTTCACTGGAAATGTAGATGTTATACACGTTTATAAAAGGGAGGTGTGTTGTAACATGACAGAACAGGAAACACCTGGGAGGTATTTTCTCATAAAATAGGATTTGTGTGTTCAATGAATGGCTAGAAACTCCCTACACTCTGCCAATCCTCAACTGAGGAACCACGAGCCCCTTTTTTCACCATCTTTATTGTCAACACTATGGTCTTAAATATATATTTATAATTGTGAAATATTACAGTTTTTACTTCAAAGGACATTCTGAAATAAAGACTGATGAATTTAGGTGCAATTTACTGCAATTAAATCTATGTTTTCTGTTTCTGTTCATATTGTTGGCTACATTTTTCCATAATGATATTATTTGTTTGATATTGAACACTTAATAATCCGTAATAATCTATTTTATAATTTTACATTTAAATGTACTATTAGTCCATTTTTCATGACTAATAGTTTAGATTATAATGAGATCCCCATTAGTTGTGCCATAAAGCACAGTCTTCCTAGTTTCCACATTTTTAAAGAAACATAAAAATGTACAGTCCAATAAAATTAACACATTTGACCAAAAAAAAGTTAATAAAGTAAACACAAAACACAAATGACAAAAATAAAACACTGATATTATCCAGTTTCAGCAATTAACAATTAATAGGCCTAACGCTGGACTTATTTGATAAAAATATCCCTTTTTAAGTGGTTGTGAATAAACACTTCATTATGTTGCATACATTTCACGATAGACAGTTATCACAAGAAAAAGACCCCTCTTTACAGGAGTCTCTCCCATCGAGACCGACTGCATTTCTTTCAACTTTCAAACTGACCCACAGAGAATGCCAATTACACTTTGAATTCAAAAGATGAGACATCTTAAACCATTTTACAACGTAAAGGAATCAACGGTCAATCTGCACCATTGATGTCACGGCCACAGCTGCAAATGTCCATTTGTCAATATCCATTTAAGCATCACTTAATACCCCTAATTTAGTAGTTTCTCCACGACAACTGCCAGGAACACCAACACTCGAACCCTCAGGGGATCTTTGGACGTGATCTAGTTCAATAGTAGTAGTATGAAGAAAGTGATAGGGGTCATTAAGGTGAGAAGCACATGATAGTATTCATCAGAGGAAATAACCTGCAGTTGGAGCAAACCGCTTGTTAGTGGAGTTTATATTTAGGGGTTTGAGGCCTGATTGCGTGGTTCACAGTATGAATATAAAATGTCAGTCTAGACGGGACATTGCAAGGATTAAGGCACTCAAAACTAATGCTGCTCTGCAGTGACTTCAGGTCAAACACATCAGTTCTTAATGAGCTGATCATCTGTGAGTTCTTGTGTCTTATTATTAAATGTTTGTTTTCTTTGTTTAAGTCAGTTTTGATCAAATAAATAAACGATAAACAGTACTCCTGTTTCTGTATTCCTTGAAACTAAATGATGTCTCAAACAAACACACACCATACACTGAACCTCGTGTTTTCTGTTGGCACTTCTCTCCACCACTTCTGGATTATTCCTCCTGCTTTTCCTCCTACATTGATGCAAATCCTGCCTCACTATATGCTACCATGCTTGGGCTTTAGGGGGATTTAAGCAACTTAGTTTTGGGATTTTTGAAAAGTAGGCTGCATGCAGAGGAGTTGTGCATACACTTAATACATCAAATTAAAACACAAGTCTGATCGTTTGGAATATAAGCAATGTTATTTAACATACTTTATAACGAATACACATGGAAGTACACATGATACTAGATGTTTTTATTCTTTTCCATTTAGTAGCACATTATTAAGATAACATTTGGGCAAACTGACATTTTTCCCTAAAAGAGTTTAAGAATTAGATGAAAATGGAGGGTTTGTATTTGCATAATAAATACTGAAGCATCTTTTTGTGTCTCGTTTAATTGTTACCAAACCTTTTATAGCTCAATATTCACCTGCAACATACAGAAAGATCTTCACAAGTGTTAAAAGGTGAGAGGATGTACACTGTATTACAAACACACTTGTAGGTGTGTGACGGATTGTAATTAATTAAGAGGACAATGTTATGCTATATAAGCATCCTACTGAAACAGAGTATGCAATATTGTCAAGTCACAGGCAAAGGATGACCACACAATTGAACATTAAGACAATCATGTTACATGTATACAAGCACACTGAAAATCCAACACAAGACTGAATATCCATAGATACTAGGTTGGTAATATCTCCTTTCATTAGGTCTCAGAAAGTTTCTGTGTATTTTGTGACAATCTTAACGCAGAGAAATACATTTTTGGCAAAGTTACAGGACAACAACATGTATGAAACTAACATTACTATCCAGGGTACATTGATGTATACAAAACAATTGAATGCTGTCTTTTTAAACCAAATGTGGAACATCTTAGAAGAGATGTATCAAACTCCCTCTGGCCTTTGACAGTTATAAATGTCTTTATAAAAGTCCTTTCACATTCAATCAAGGTCTTTCTGAAATCAGTTTTTTCGACTATCTAAGAAACAGTAAACACTTTAACTTTGCTTTTCTTTCAGTCAGAAAGACATGAGAATAGACAGGTAGTACAGTGTTGTTGAATAAAGTGAAGCAGGTTGCACCAGCTGCATTAGGAGGAACAGGTGAACCAGCAATACACTATAAATACTAGTAAATACAAAATGCTATCACAACATTTGATAAACAATGATATTTCTTATCTATACACTCAAAATACACAACATGCCATGTTCTTCTTTTTACAAACACACAAAAAAGGATTGCATTACATTTGGCACACAATCACAGTGGACTGACTTTGATTTGGTCAGTGTTCTCTCTGGCAAGCTGTCTGCACTTATAATTATGTATAATTTTATATCATGGATTACGTGCAAAAGACACAATACACAATAATACTTAATAGTAGAAACAGAAAGCAAATATATTTTAACCCCCCATTCTGCGTTATTCACAATAATAAAGTTGTTCTGTGGTGACCCTCAGCAGACTGGAGCACGAAGTGTTGGTTCATTTGAGGTGAAAGAAGCCGCTTGGTTTTGTTGGTACAGCCATCAGCATGTTAGCTTGGTTCTTGTGAGTTATGTGGATCTATAATAAAAAATAAATAAATATTGGTGAATCTTGAAATTCCTTTAAAATAATGAATATCACATCAGCTAATAATAATAATAATGATTTTTTTTTAATGTCTCAATAACTGTAATACACATTGGATAAAATCGACTTCTAAATTCAAATAATATTATAGCCTTCAAACTCGTTCTCCTTGATAGCCCTAATCTGGGTTAATCTCAGTTTATTTTATCTATGCTGTACGAGCCATGTGTCTCGGCCGCAGGTTTGAAAATAACTCTACAAATAATAACAACTTTGTTGTTCATTACGATGCTCTAACCACTGGGTTTAATTACTAGTCTGATATGTAACGTCTCTTGGCACTGAATTGGATCACTTACAGTACACGGAGGCTGCATCCACGGCTCCCCATCAATCTGCATGGGCAGGGCTTTGATTGTCCTGCACACAGGGAAGATAGAGAAAGTCAGATTTAAATATACTTTACCCGAACCATATGTCAAGTGTTTCTCTGTTTACATTGGATGGCATAGAGAGGGATTACAAATCAGAACATCAGACAGTAAAATGGAATCAAAAACAGCAGCCACATACATTCTTGTAGTTCTTGTTTCATATTGTCACGTATTCTTGTTATTATTGTCAGCCCCCTGTAGGTAAAAGTGAACAACCTGATGGTGATTTGGGAAGTCTGTGCCAGTCTGTGCCCGGCGCTCTTCATTTTAGTGTAGATCTGTCCCATCTCTATGGCTCCTTCCAGCCCCACCACCTCCATACGCCTATCACTGATATCTGCAGCACACAGAGAAACACACAGATCAAGTTCAAATTGTTTGTAAAAGATTGAATCAGCATCATAAAACCAGGTTCACGCCATAACGTCAAGATAATATTTAGAAACAATAAATGTGATGATTTAAGATAGTACCTTGAGAGACTGTTTTAAGAAGTTCAGGGTCAGTGATAACCTCGCTGTGCTCTGCCTCTGGAGCACCGTCACACTTCTTGGACTCGCCCCAGAGGTTGGAGCCTCCGTGCATGCTGGGTATGTTGAGGACAGCTATGCCCTCCAGGGACATACTGCTCAGATCCAGAGACCTCCCACAGCACTGGGGGAGGCAAAACAAGATTAGCTCTTCTGTGAAGTACAAATACTTCTTTAAAATAAAAATTGCTACATGACTTATAGACATCTCACCTGAATCATAAGACACTCCTTCAGCTTCTTGCAAGTGGCAGAGATGGTTTCAGAAGTGGCAAACTCCAAATACCAAAGTTTGTTCTTCATTCTTATACAAAAAGAGAGCTTCATGTTAGACATTTTTCAAAAGTCTAAAATGAACAAAGAATAGATTTCCCCTTCTCAAGATTTGGTTCACAAAAGATAATGGACTAGTGATTTTATAGTGTAAACACACGCATAATGTATTGCGTTGGATTTTTGTTCTCCAATTATCATATGGCGTGGTGAGTGCCATTAAAA